CACTCTTTTGCCATTCTGGTATGAAATCTAGAAATGGATAAAAGTGCTACATGTAACCTTAATTATCTACTTTTTTTCTTCTTTACCTCATAAGCCTCATAATCGGGTAATTCTTCACTGGTTTTGTTTTCTTGCGGTGAGTTACCCTGACGCCTGGCTTCCGCACAGCTCGACCTTTTTCTGTTAAGGTAAAAGAAGCAACAGTGTTAATCATCAGTTGAATTACATACTATTTTCAGCAAATCATTTTCTTATTTACCTCGATAACTTGTAACCGCTATCATGGCTTTCTTGTTGTCGTTTCCCGAGGGAAGCCTGTAAGGAAATAAGAAAGCAAAAATATGCTTTCTCAGTTGGTGTGAAATCGACGATTGATATTCACCTCTTACATCAAATTGTACAACAAATTTTTCATAATCAGAAGTTTACGCTGGATTACAATATTTTATTTTGCTCCTTTTGAGCGAGTACAATAGATAGTTCAATGTTCATTTAACCGATTGAACATTTTGATAAGCTTATTCAAACGAAAGTTTGAACACTCAATCAGTTAAACATTTACTTACCCTGCTCTCGTTTTCAGTTCGTTTTCTTGCAGCAAGGGGATCACATTCTGCTTTCCGCTTTCTAGAGGGTCGTTCCGAATTAATTGCAGTCGGATCTACATTTGCATGTTCTCTTTCAGGTAAATTTGGTTTATTTGAAACTTTTTCTGAAGAAACTCCGCAGTTATTGCTCTCTTGCAAGTAACTGGTGTGAGGCACGATGCCTGCACAGTTGGATTTTTCCCTAAGAAAATAAGTGAAAGATTATTGTGATAAAATTATCAACTCATTTGGAGTCGTTAGGTAACTAGTTGATGAGCGTACACGTTTCGTGTTTCCTTTCACTCAAACTTCATATTTCCTAGAAAAATTTTTTTAAGGCGTTTTTTCATTTTTAGCCAAAATGCGCTTTAATGTCCTCACTCTGGTGAAGAAGGAGATATATAATTGAAAGAAAACATGTATTTCTCGAAATTTGGAACAAAAACCGTACCATTCGGGAAGACCCTTCAATGTTTGTTTCCACCCGCGTTTCCTGGCAACGTCTTCAACTGGCTTACACTCGCATTCCGTGGCAACTTTCCAAATATGGTCAAACGCAAGCAAAGCAATGCGATGTTATAAGTAATTACTTACCTTCCTGACAACCGGCGTAAAAATTAACTAGTGAGGGCCTTCAATGCAATTATTTAATTCATATCAAATTCAAAAGTTGACAATTTTTTATTTACCTCGGTAGTTGAGGACTGCAGACGAATCGTTGAATCTTCAGAAAATTCTACAAAAACAAAAACGAAAAAGATTTGAAAATTTGTCACCCTCGCTATAAAGATTCATAGATTCCTGAAAAAGACTAGAAAAAAAATTAATGATGAAATTAACTTCACAAGCTGCGCTTCCGCGCGTTACTTCAAGAACTCAAACATTTTCAATTAGTTCTTCTCCGCTGATCCTACGATATTTTCTAATTGTTAATTGTGTCAATACATTTCAATTAGAAAATCCTGACAAGTTAACAACTACTCTTACTTGTTATAACTTACCTCGATCTCCTTCTCTGTCTGTTTCCTTTTACTCTCTGCAAGGGAATCAGTTCCCGCTTTCCGCTTTCTAGAGTTTTGGCTTGATTTCCGAATCGGATTTTCATTCATGTTTTTGTCTTGACCTGACCTCGCCTTCTTTGAGAAGCGTGGAGTTCTCTTAGGCATGCTCGATCAGAGTTAGTGAATCAATAAACTCAACCTTGATTGCGATCAAATTGTGTCCGTAAACTTTCTTTGCGCTCACGGCCAGCTAGCTAGTAAGCAACTGTTATGTTTCTGTGGAGGATTTCCAAACTACAGACCTTTGTGACGTGTTTTTGACGTTTCGCGCGCGCTGAAAGGTATGAAGAGCGCGTGCAAGACAACTTTTTTGTAAAAGTTTTCTCTAAAGATCTTAATAATCATTAATTGAGTATTTTGGCCTATCGTCGACCTTTGCACCAATTTATAAACTTGATATAGTCTAAAGCTCTTCCGGCTTAAAACGGAATTCTTGAAGACTGTGCCGTTTTGACTACTCTTAAAACAAAGCAGTTTCACTCACTTTATTGAAAGAAGTTCGTGGCAAAGCACAAGAAGACGCCTAATTCTCGCCGCTTTCCATAGCCGATTTCTTTTATTTGCGAGACTGACTCGCATAGCTGTTGACGCTTATTTTGCTTTCTTCAGAAAGAAGCAACCAGGACGTGATTTGAATTCTGAAGTTTAAGTAAGACAGAGATGCTTGGATGATATGAAGAGAACTTTTTCCTCTATAACGTGGAGCAGTAAAGTAACTTGCAAGACCTTTTCACGGTTCAGGAACGCACATATCTCATGATTTTATTTTCTAGAAGTGAAATAATCAACCTTGCGACCGTTCATCCGTTTCAATAATGTCAAATTCATGCTTTTTCTCCTGACCAGTGAGTGTGCGATCATCGTCGGCTTGGGTGAAGGGATTGGCAATGAGCGCAGCGCAAGATTGCGCATAAGGTTGCTATCACGAAAACTAAGATCGTGACGTTCACGAGAGGTTTCTATTCCTAAATAATTGGTCACTATCCAGTCCATCCTTTGAATTTACTTGCATGTTCCCCTTTACACAAGCAGTATGGTTGTGATTCTTTCACAGGACATTGGTATTTTCTTTATCTCTATCTGGACTAATCATAACTATTACAATTCTGTCTGTTACTCGTATTATTACAGACCAAATTGGACTCCACTCGGTCCTATTACCATCATCAATCAAATCGATAACAAAATTCTCGAACGTGATTGGTTAACACCAGCCCGATTTGAGCACTAATAGGACAGTGAACGCGTCATGCTTGTGATTGGGCAGTGCAATTAGGCCGTTAAAAAGACAGTTAACACGTCATTCCTGTGTTTGTGAACAGAACACGTCGTGTGCGCGCACTGTTGTCTCACATTTCGCCGTGTAACTTGAAGTTTTATTTTTTATGAAACCACGTATAACCGATGTCTAGTTTTCTAAATCTCGAATTTTGTCATAGTTTTGATTAATTGGTGACAGGACTTCGTGTCGTCCAATTTTGTTCCACCCGTATGATTACAGACCGAATTAGACTACACGCAGTTACCATTACTAATCGATCGATTGATCGACTGTCGTATAAAAACTGCTGGCCTTAAGGGTGCGTTTGAAAACTTCGGAGGGCATATTGTGTCCGTAAATCTGTCGAATTGCCTTTCAATGAAGTCTCTAAAACATGCGTTGATCTTTGATAGCACTGTTCAGGAAAGTTATACACCAAAAGCTGTAAAGGCTGTCCTCCCTTGAGTACTGCGATTTTTTTTTTCTCCCTACCCTTGCTACTGGGTGCTCTTGATAAACATTGCTCTAACACCACCATTTCTAATTTAGCTATTATCGATAAACCCTTAGGTAAGGAACAGTGGATTTCTTTTTCCAGTCTCTGCCTTCTACTCCTCAGTTTTGTACATACGCACTAAAGGATTCGTATATTTCACGACTTCTCCCCAATGGAAGGGCCTTGAGGGTCTCTTTGCATTCATGAGGGCGCCTTACAACAGCCAGGTTTAATCGCGACCACAATATAGAGTAGAAAACTGGTCCACAGGGGGCAGAAATCATTCGATCTTGAAATGCTCACCAAAACCAAACGCAACATCCCTTTTAAACCCCATTACGAGGTTACTGAGTGTTTAATCCCAGAACAAAAGTGTTAAATAACTATACAGTTACATTAAATAAAATCATAAATATACCTGAACGATTCATTCAAATAAGATTTGTTTACGACTGAAAAGTGCACTTTTATATGAGATATCTTAATAAGGTAATAAACATTTACATTCTTGACAAAAAGGTCATTAAAATATCCACATGTTGCTAATCTCTTCTCTCAATCCAAAGTTTCAATAAATAATAAAAACTTCCACTGTAAAAATCAGAGGGTATCATTAGTACTAAGTATAAATAATATTCACAAAAAAAACCTTTTCGAAGCAACTTCACACCTTTAGGGTGGCTCAGCATGGTTCTATAATTTTCAAACACCAAGTCCTTGATGAATTGAAATCGCTGCCTCTTTCTGTGTGGCACAACATGAAGCACATAAAATTGTACAAAAAGCTAAGAAACCTTCCTAATTAATCGAAACATTTTAATGGCTCTGATTTTCTGAAAACTTTGAAGAAATGTGAATCTTGATATGCTGAGTAGACACGTCATTGAGTTAGAGACACAAGGAAGCTGTGCTGTTGCTTTCGTTACCTTTTATGTTACAAATTCAGTGCAACCAATTGCAAGAAAATAATATGAATGGAAATAAGCTGTGATTCAACAAAGAATTGTTCTTAAATAATAACCGTCCTTTATGAAGAGTCAAGACAGAAGTAACATGATATCAATTTACATTTAGTCGAGGAAAAAAACAATCGTTTTTTGCGTAGCAATGGAAGCTTATGAAGTATTTCTGTAAAGTGGTTTATCTCTCCAAAAAAAAAACCTAATTAGTATATACCTAAACAGTACTGAATGACGCTAAAGGCGTGCTCTAATTGGCTTCTCAAACCCCGAAAATCCTTCGCCATTCACCTCCAAGCAACTCGCGCTCGAACATATTGTAAGCGCTGAAGGAATATATTAATCTAATCATCTTTGTGTTATATTATCTCATTATTTTAGTATATTCTAAAACAATTATTCACCTCAGTGTCAGTGGCTAGCAGTGTATATTCACCTTGCCGCTTCGCAGCTGGGCAAATATCCACCACTACCCACCTTCTTTAGTCGTTTATTGTGTGACAGTCAAAAAGATCTCTCATTAACAGCACTTTGAAGCAACATTGTGGTTTAGTCCTCGGTAAATTTACTTTTCCATACCCGTGGGGCAAAATGAAAATGGACTCTAAATGAATAATGATTAAATATTACGGGGCTGCCTTCAGACGTAGTTCAAAGTCTTGTACAACGACTAAAATTGTAATTTTTTTTTAAACAAAAGTACATTGATCAATGGAATTCTTTAAAACACAATCTCATTTTAAGAACGTTGTGCCAGCACACTGACTTTGTTAAAAAGGAATTTAACGACTTACCGTAAAGTAATATGCTAGAGTATAAAGGAGATCATTAAAGGTAATTTTGTTTAGCAATTTTTGCACAGTTTTGTTTTAAGAAAACCAACTCGATTAGTAAAATTGCAATCACATAGCAAAGAGTGAGGTTTGAGCATTATCAGGCAGATGAGGGCCTCATCAATCCGTTTTAATCCTTTCCTGTTGCCTCTGCAATTCCTCTCTAAGCTTTTCTTAGGTTAGTTTTCCATAATTTATTCCGTGAGTGAGGTTTGTCCGGGTTAATATCGCGTGACCTTGGCTATTATTTTCACCTTTTGGTGTTTACTTGACCTTGGCTCATTTTTCGTTCTTCTATTCTGGCAAGCGCTGCGTGAACACGGAAACTCAGTCGGTTCTCAAAGTCATAACCACTGAAGTTGTCCTAATAGGAAAAGAGAAAGAGAGAGCAATATTAAGACGACTGATCTCCCTTATCTGGAAGTTTCAGGAAAGGACAGAAAATAAAATAAAGACGCTTTTCATCAACCTTGACTCTTTTCAACAATTCTTCTCCTTTGGTGCTCATCTGAAAATTATACACATTATACAGGTTTACTTTAATTATAGTAACTAGCTCATAATAACGATAATAACAAAATTTTCGAAAAACTCAAGCAGGCCTGAATTCCACATAGTATTATACTACAGTCCTACTAAGGACTGTGGTGTAATAAGCATGCGTGTGCAATAATCTAAGTCTCTTTGTCGTTTCTCCGTTTGCTACAGTGACGCGTTGTTTATCTCTTTGAATGTATTTTGTGATGCAAATTATGTCGGGTATACCACTCGAGAATAAACGAATCAAGCATCATCACTCTGCCATCGGAAACACTTCATGGTGAAGCATGGATTACACAAAAGAACCCATCGATTGCCTTTTTTAAGTCTTCAGAAAATGTAACAGCAAGTTTGACCGTTTATCTACGAAATGCTTTTTATTCCTCTGAACACGCAATGAGACCCGATTCACATCAAACTTTTTACTTAACACTTTATTGCTATTTTACCTCTAGCACAAAAACATTCTTTCCTTTGTTATTTTTTTATTATTTTATAAATTTCAACTTGTCATTTTTATTCTTGACTTGATAATGACGGGAAACAACGTCGAAACGTCGTCAACGATATTTCACGAACAGTTTCAGAAGTTTTTACAAGTTTTAGAGAAGTTTCTACGTATTTTGATAACGTTTTAGCATTGAACATTGCAATCAAACGTTTCTCCAAATCTCTTCTTAAATTTTTTTATGAACAAATTATTGGTCAACACACTGCTAACCTTTCCGTCTTGCGCATATAGAACACCAAGTTCATACATGGCAAAAGGAGGCACGTGCGAATCTGGAGGACTACGACCGGATTTGACGATAGCATCCTGAAGAAACTGTCGATTAAATAGAAACAAATACAGTATAGCTGAGATGGCTTTAATTAATAGCTTAAACACGGCCTCTATATCAACTAGATCCTTAGCTACGAACTTTGAAGCTTGGCTGAAAGTGTCACTTTTGGAAATAGTCCACCAAACGAAAAGGGTATCATGTCCGCTGACCGGCTCAACTGAGGTGCATAACGGTTAAAATATCAAACGCAAGGAACTATTTCACAGCCATCTCCTCTGTTTAAACTTTGTTACAATTACACGCACCTTCACAGCTAGGTCAGTTTTCTTGAGGACCTGACAAGCCGATCCTTGTATAAGAGACTTGAGAGGAACAAGATTGGCACTCACTTGACACTCCTCTACATCTGCAATAAACAAGCAAGGATTTAACACCTCTTAATATACCACTATCGTGTATCTTACCTCGTAGTCACTACCGAAGTGATCATTCTACAGCATACCGCTGGTCTCCTTTAGTCAATGAGGTCGACTGATTACGCATGATCCGAACTGACTACAGATGATGTGCTGTTCGACAGATGGTTATTCAGGATTTGAATAAAACCTTGGTTTGGTTAATTCTTGTGTGAAAAAATGCGTGGTTTAAGGCTTAGATGGCTTGTATAATTTAAAGGGGGATCAATCAGCCCATGATTACGATCTGTCCATCCTCAAGATCGCTATCTCCCTGTCGCGATCTGGTAAACTCACCAACTGTTTCAACCACAACATGTCTGGGTATAAAGGTATTCGCAAAAATTTTCATAGCACTGTCTTGAATGCAGTTTCTACAGTGTAGGTAAACAGATTTTTGTGTTATAGCTAAGACTATTGGTACTTTTTAAATAAAGAAGAGTCTTACCTGAAAGAATTCTATTTAAGACAGTTTCGCTGCAAGTGTAGAATGCTCTCCACAGATACAGAAGTTCTAATGCTAACAGTAAACAATCAGCCTCTGATGGTGGCCCTTTTTTGTACATAGCAGCCTAACAAACAAACCAACGAAAAAAAAAAAGACAAAACTTGAAACTGAAACAACTGTAATGGAGTATACATTTCAGTCAGCCAGTTGCAGACCTCTAGTCTGGGTAAATTTTGACGTCAAAGTTAACGAGTGTGTTGCCCAAGCTGATAGGCTCCTGGGCCCCAGTCATTATAAAATGTAATTTCTGTTCTCACTCTTATTAAAATTCTTATTAGAGCGCATCCGTTTCAAATATAGTTTTTTTTTCATTTTCGATTTCTCATTTCAGTCATCCACCATTACAAGATTATGTTCCTGTCGAGATGTTTTATAAGAGTTTTGTCGAACTGTAAATTAACGTCAAAGACTACTAGATTAATTTTGCAATGAGTGAACCTGGTTAATTAAGTATGCAGCACGGAACTTTTGTGCTGTTAACCGAAATTAATTGCCGTTCTGCATACTACATCGGCCATTACACTTTGACGTCACCTGCTCCCTCAATCCAGCGCACCTGGTGCAGCTCGACTGGAACATAATCTGGTGAAGGCGGACAGTTACAACTTGAGAAATCGATACGAGAAAAAAAATTACGTTCATTTATTAGATTGAGTCGCAATAGCAGATAGATGGCTGTTTTTTATAATGAAATATAGAGAACAAAAACGACAATCGTCAAGTAATAATCAAGTGATAACAAGAACGATATTTCTTTCTCAACGCAGTAGAACATCAAGGTTCATATTGGTCGAATGCTAAACCGTTCATAAAAGTTGGAACATTAGTTTTGGCCATGTTTTTCAAGTTTGCAAGTAGCTAATGTGTCCAAATCGTCTGTTGTTTCGAGTATCCAGAGAGTCTCTTTTACAGCTTTTTCTTTAATCATAAACTCGGTGTTAAAAATACAAGAAACTGCGTGACTTAGTCTGTGTCATGTAATGTGATCCCAATATTGAACTTGACATCATTAGCAAGAGGTCTAATAAAGTATTTTTGTTCGCATTTCTTGCTAATTATTCTCCTAAAAGGTGTTGGTCTACCTGTGCACCACATAACTGCTAGAAGACAAGGTGTACGGCCCCACAATAAAGCTCCAAAATCAATATCATACCTCAAGTTTATCGACAGAGAAAGCTTACCTTCCTTAAGAGAAACTGTTCCAGTGGAGTTTTCTTCTTAACAAATTTAGGAACCAATTTAAATTGTGCTTGAGCCTCAACTGTACTTCCTAAAATGCCTATTGTGACTAAATGATAAAAAAGAAATGCCGCCATTTATACAAATACAATCAACTTCTGTTCTTATACAGTACATACTGGGGCCTCATGAGAAGTGGTATAATAGTATAATTAAAACTTGGGCTAGGCAGAAAAAGAGAAGCTATTGGAGAGAGAGTGAATAAACTGTGATAAACATTTCATTACTTTCTTGCCCCAGGGGGGCATCCAATAGACAACACTGCTACATGTACATGTACCACCACATACACAATGGTTATTTTTTCTACAGTTAGGATGTGAACAACAATTATTTTGTATAATGAAAATAATGAAAGTTGCAAAGAGAAACATATGTGGTGATTTAAAACCAGGATTTAATTTTTCAAAAGTAAAAAAAAACCCACAACAGAAGAAGAGCTGTGGGCAATGGACCACAGAGGGAACTGATCCAAAGATGCACCAATCGCAGCCATGGAATTCCATTCAATCACAGCTGAGCGGTACAGCATATTAGTAACGCTTACTCAATTGACCTCATCACCTGAGGAGGACTAGCAGTTTGCAGTCAAAACGTCACAATCCACATCCCACGTGACCGAAGTGAGACAAACGATATGTTTCTTTTGAAATTGGTATTTACCACAATGACAAGCCACAACCTATTACACAATATGATTTACATGATCATCAATTTACCTCCGCAGAGATAAGCATAGTAACTTTGTGACCACTTGGATTCTTCTTTCAATCTATAATTTAAAAAGATCACAACTGACCATTACACACTTAAGACTGGTTTACTCCAGTTGCACTCATAAATGAATTGGTGACTTGGTATTGTGTTGTCTCAAGAACATTGAATAATTCATGGTTGAAAAGAATGCAGCCTTAACCTTTAACTTTTACTTAACTTTTATTATCAGTATGCAAATTCTCCATACTGTTCTCTATACACATCCTAAGATGTTGACAATTTGTTTAAAATTTGAGAATTTGTTTAAAAAGCAACAGCTTCTTCAGGCAGTGATCATCTCCTTTACTCCTGTTACAGAACCTCAAGTTGTGATTCAAGGGTGGTACTGTAGGTCACTCTTAGGCATTGAAGGATTCAATATGGACAAACAGAGTTGCTCTACAACAATTCTGTTTTTGCGAGCTACTTAGCACAAAGGACATTCTTTTTCCCAATGAAATAAATAAAAGATGGTACAAACAAACAAACAAAAAAAGTACCTAAGAAATGCTGGGAGAGCGTATTCCCACTCAAGCCTTAACATGTGACACCAACCTAAACGAGGAAGACAAGTTTTGGATTAAATGTAACATCATGTAAAGTAATCAACTGGCTAACTTGAATTATAGGAAATTAAGTAAGCATAAGGAACTGCTCCTGCCTTTAAACCAAGTGACCAGATTTTCATGTATATAAACCAGAGGAGAGCACAAGAAAACATTGCACCAGCATGAATCACAGACAAAGGGTTTCAAGTCAATTTTTGAAATGGTTCAAGTATGTTATAAGTATTCAAGTTGGAATACTAGTATATATGTAATTGTTCTCAGAAAATTTTCCAAAGAATTACCTATTTCATATTGACATATAAGAGCTATTTCTTGCTGTCCTGCAGCAGAGTGCATGGCTTGATGAAATTCATCCAATGCTACACCAATGTGACCCTGTTTAAAGATAAACAGCTGTATTAGCTCTACATACATACTCCACTGATTAAGTCCAGTTAACAGCTTTTTTTTGAGGCCTGATGACCAGTTATTTCTGTATTGTAATGGTATAAACAACTGAAATTGTTTTCATGGCACAAAAGCAAGAAGCCAGGATCTTTAATTCCTTTGCATTCCTTTTCTTCCATCGATGTTATCTTGTATACAGCATACACAAATAAAATTAAATCAACAAAAAATTTTTTCCACTCTAGTCTAGTAGGTGAAATTGTTTTTACGAGAAAACACATCATTTTGAATCAGAAACAAGTCAATTGTGCTCAAATTAAACCCATGATTTTTCGTATCTAACCTTCAATCTGGATACAAGCCCTTTGAAGAACAAAAAAACAGCTGAGCAAGGGTATTCATGGTAAGATTCTTCTAAGATAGAAGTCGCATTGGCTAAACCTTAAAAAAATATTAAATTACAAGAACTTAAACATCATTTGTCAAGGAAAATTAATTAAACAGGTTAGGTCAATAGTATTCAGATCAAGTCTCAAGTTACATTTGCATACTTGGCACAACAGATTGTGCTTCTCCCCTCAGGTAAAAGGTCAAGGGATTGACTCCAAGCAGAGGCAAGTTTTTTTCCTTTGTCTTTCTTTTCCTTTTCTTCCCTATTTTTGTTAACAAAAAGTATATGTTTTGTATCTCTTTTCATCCAGAACCTCACCTTTTTCTGAGCAGAAATCAGCATTTGAGAAGTCTATTGCCAAGTCACAATGTTTGTCTATCCTTTTCCACTTTTGAAAAAATGGGTTGTTTCAATCATTCCAGACTACAGTTCATCCATACTGGATCAACAAAGTTTGAAAACAAGGCCTATAAATACTGAAATGTAAGATGGCTTGTCACCCTTGACAAGTATATTTATCCAAGTGCCTTGTATTTGAAAGATCTTACTCAGTCTTTATTTCGAATGATCTTTTATCCATTAGTCAAATTTTTTGGTCTTAGATCCACCCTGTCAGTCAAATACACTTTACTTCTCAGCTAACTGTTGAAATTTTTACCAATTCTTAGCTATCAGTTGAGCCCCATACAGGAAATGGAATTGAACAAGCTAAAGCCTTACATGCTAGCAGACTGACAAAAAGTTAACAGGAGTTGAAAGAAGAGGTGGAAAGAAGGAGTAACTGAGTGATGGATAAAAGAGGTGAATTTTGGGTCACAACTCTGAAATTTCTTTCAGCTATTTTCTAAAACAGCATTTTCATGTGTAAGGCCACTATGAATGATGGGATTGTTCAAGGACAGACTTACGGACAAGATAACAATGAGTCTACCTCGCCTTGGGCACTGTAGACTCTAAAACTGTTGGTAAAGCTGTATGTGATGATCCATTTTTCTGCTTAGGTGTTGGTTACATGGTGTGTATGCTAGGTACAGTTTGGTGGTAAGTCTACATTTCTAATTCATATCATAAAGTACAAAATGACAGTTATACTAGTGTTGAGTTGGATTAGTTAACTATTTGTCTAGTTGATAAGCGAACAATACACACCCTCCTCATTTTTTCCTTCATCCAGAGCAACAAATGGTCTGATAACTGCATGATACCACAGTAAGGTAAGTCTAGGAGAATATCAATATCACAGCTTCAATTTACTTCATAGACTGAAGCATACTACTGTAAGAGTAAAACCATTCAAGTAAGCAAGTGAGGAATGACTTCTTACAAACTGAAAACTATTGCAAGCTCTTTGGAAGGTTCTTTGCTTTAATAATACTAAAAAAGAATTAGTGAAAATTTTAGCCAAGAACCCTGGAAAAAAGTGTAAAATTACTTTTGTCACAATGACCTTGACTATTGAAGATCTAAAGAGATCTCCAAGGGTGGATCTTCCCACAAACCTTGAACAGATTTGAGAACACTCTAAATCCTTCACACTTGTGCAGATTTTAGGAAAATACTCATACAGGAAGATACTTAGTGTTTATTTGAAGGACTTTCACAATTTTCTAGCAAAGTTATGAAATCTTTATATTACTTGAACTAACCTTGCCACTGGAGCCTTCATATCTTCACTCTGACTTGCCAAGTTCAATGCTTGTATTCCAATTTCTCTGTTTCCAGAAAAGCCAAGAAGATGACAGAATTTTAACAGCTTGGGTGGCACTAGAGATATTGCCAAATGAAACAGCCCATAACCACAGGATACTGCAGCCTGAAGGTGCTTTAATGCCTCAGGACTGACAGCTGCAGCTGAGAGCTTGACTGTTTCTTCATTTATAGTTAGATTGTCCAGGGGAGACGCCACATCCTCAGGGTCCAAGGGTGATACCACACAAGTTTCTACAGACTACAGTGTTGGGGACAATACCAATTTAGTAACAACTCTAATACTGTAGAATACTGTGTGATAACATCTTTATGTGTAATCATGCTTCACTGCTTGCACCACTATTATGGACAAATCAACCCATTAACTTTCAGGAATGATCAACATGTAACTTCTCCCTATGATGTCAATATAATATCCAGCAAACAGGCAATAAGAATATTCAAACTTATCAGGCAGAAGCTGTTACCTTGATGTAACACTTAATTTACAATTAACTTATTTACAAGGAAATGTGCAGCTCCTAGAGGGGAGAAGTAACAATCAGATCTTGGGAGTTAAAGGGTGTGAATAAGAGTCTACTTTGGGAGAATGGTACTGCTCACAGCCCATTGAATGCTTGAAGGGAAATAACAAACTGTGCACTGAGTAACCAGTCTATTACAGCTAGCGAGTCCACTGGTAACCATTAACAAGGACATTCCTGACCAGAAAAGATCAGAGCTACTGAGAGAGAAAAACCATAACATTGTGCCTTGCTTCAAAGACTACCAGCTCAAAAAATGCCCATTCATTTGAATGCTATTAATAAGTGTGCTGAATGATTACACATGTCTACATATACACATAGTTACCTCATCAATAGCCTCTTCAACATCATCAAGGCCAGATGAAATAGCACCATTTGTATTACACCTTAGCTCAGGGGCCCATGCCAAGAATGGTCCACCAATAGCACTTATCTCACGGTAGCATTTATCATAGAGCTTCCATGCACGTCGCATCAGATATCCACCCTTGATATAATCAGTGATGCCTGCAATGGTGAATAAACCATAACAAAATGTTACTTCTACCAGATTATAAAAAGCAATGGCTCAGAGTGTCAGTTTTACCTTGTTTAAGGAATGTCAGAAGAGCCATGTAGAGCTCACAATCAGCATACAAGATCTGCCTCATCAGCTGTTCATCAAGCCCCATTCCTGTACCCTTCCTGATGTTCTCTACACAGCAAATCCTCTGAGCTCTTTTAAGGTTCTCAAGAGCCCTGTCAAGCTGATCATCCTCAAATGTGAGGATTGCTTGCTGCAATGAAAAAAAAATTAAAAGTAGACAATCAACAAAGATTTTGACAAGAAAATTCTTCAAAATACAGCACATGTAGTTATTGATAAAGAAATATGACAAATTGTGCACTAAGTCACTGAAAACAGAAAAAACACAATTCAATTGTCACAGGGGTGGGATGAAGAATGCACAATCAAACATCAGATTCTCAGATATTACAGTCCAATGCTCTTCCACCATCAGGCAGAGCTACAGATAATTTCCAGTGAGATAGGCCATTTACCGCAGGGTTCCTATATGAAAACACTGCTTAGAATCAGAACTGCTGACCCTGGAAATGTGCATGACAATTATAAAATGGAAATTTACTTATCTTGTTTGGAACAAATTACAAACTGAAGAAGGCAAGCACTGGACAGGTATAACTTACCACAAAGTCTACCATGCCTGAACCAGCACTCATTAGTGGAGAGCCATCACTTTAAAAAGAAAAGAAGAGGCAGATGTTAATGAAAAAACATTTTAAATCACATGTACATTGTACAGAGTATACAGCATACAATGTATCTACCAGTACAACAAAGCTAAATTCCAATGCCAGCACCATTACCTATAGTTACATGTATAAAAAATTTAATGTACCAGCTTACTTTATTTCCACATCAAAACAAATGTAAAAAGTGAAACTTTTTATAATCATCTCCACACTTAAAGTAACAATTGGATCATGTAAATTACTTGTAGAAAAATACACCTTGTGATTCCTTTAAATTTGTCAATTGTCCTTTTGACCTCAAGACAAATTCTATAACAATTAAATCTACCTCTCCACAACCTAGAAAAATAAGTTGTCTGGGCCATGATGCATTCAAATCGTTGTTGTTATTCTAACCCTCCCTGAAAAAGTACATACTTGAAAGTATCTGCTTCACTAAGCTACAAAACCAAAACTACCTGACAAATTTATAATGAGAAGTGACTGTTGATCATGAGACAGATGCTTGCTTTACTAAGTGATGATGGATTCATGTAGACACAAATTTCAAATACTTTGAAAGTAATTTGCCGAACAGAAGTTGTTTGTTGTCAAATTTGATTTCTACATCACTTACTGCAACATCACAGGCGTAATGTTACTCAAACTCTAATTGCAGCTTACTTTTGCTAGTCCTTAATACCGGTTTACCTACCCATTTTCATGTTTAACTGCACATTTTCAATGCATTGCACCGTCAAAATGTTTATACAGAAATAGTTATGCTAATGAGCATTGAATTATTTCAAAAACTAATGATGACTTGCCTCCATAACTTTAAACAACTGTAGGAATTTAAGGAATTCATAACTTTTAGCCCCTTAGAAGTTATAACAGCATTACTTCCTCAAAATTAAGTTTCAGATAACATCCACAACACATCTTGTTTCCCTGTTGACCCTTTAGTTTGCAACATCTTATGAGCATAGCTTTTATTTATTAGCTGCCCTTCATTGCCATGGATGTCACTCAAAAGAATTTCATGTTATTTCCAGAAAAAAACAATCTGATTAAAAAGTTTGTATATTCTCACTGGATAATATATTGAAAATAAAATAATTTAATATTAATAATTTCTGGGAGTTATAGAAATAATTAATTACTGAAAACAAAATATTTGCTTCTACTGCTGACATATCAATTCAGGCTACAAAAAGATATTGCAGATAACATCAAATTCAATTAAGTTGTCAAAACCATGGCAGGCAAAACAAACACTGGACATTTTATTGTGATGATTAGCAAACACAGTAACTTTCAGACCTTAGATTAATCAGACTTTTCACAAAATTCTTGAATTTGATCGGTTATCACCAGCACATCTTCTGGTTTTAGGACATTGTATACGTTATAGTTGTAATCAGACTGTATGCGTGTGATTGGTCACTATTCATCATGTGCACATACTATTGTTCTGCATTTCCTTGAGTTAACTGTTGTTGTTGTTTTTTTAATGGAAACATAATATACTATGACAAGGTTGCAAAACAAAACAGCCACCAGTTTTATATCATAATTATGGCTGTTTTGTTTTTCAAATTAATTGGCAACATGACTTTCTGTTGTCTAACTTGGTCTCTTCAATCATACTCATGATTAACAAATGTGAATCACTTGTATGATTAACAACCAAATTGGACTCAACTCAGTCAAATTGCCAGTACTAACTAACATGTCGTCACTTTCAGTGTCACTGATGGTAACTACATGGTGTATACAGCTGAGTTATTCAATGTTGGTAAAGTTTCTTAGCTGTGCTTTGTGTTTCCATGAATCACTAAGTACACAAGAAGACTTATCTTACACTAACTACAATGCAATCTTGTTTGTTAAACTTTGAATATTTTATGACATTGATCCCCACCCAAAAATAGCCAAATAATTATAACAAGCAAGAAATACCTAACAAGAGTAAAGACAGGCTGATTTATGTGCTTGCACACAAATTACTTTAATTTCATTCTAGAAAGTATTTGGTACAAAAAGAAGGGTCATGGAGGATAATTATTTGTGTAATCAAGATCTAAACACAGTCACATGAAGTGCTAATGTTTTGCTCAAAAAAATTGTATGGTTGAAGTCTTTAATAATTTTGAACCATTTAAGTAAAATGAAACATCCTTAACAAAAAGCTGCACAAAGTAAACTTTCTGAGAACATAAGAGAATTTTAACTTCACCATTAGGCAAATGTATTTTATTGAATATGCTGTTTTGAATCTAATTAAGTTAAAAAAAGGAATTCAAATTTTTGAGCAAATAAAATTTCCCTTCTTCAAGCCTGTTAATAAATCGTTAACTGATCTCAATTCAAATATCTGACAGGTTATGAACTCACATGATTGGTGGCATAATGTAAATTCGAGGCGGCTCTCTAAAATATAAAGTTTCTTTCGGATCACAAATGCGTAGGCATAAAAAAGAAGGATCATTCATGAATTTTTTATGTACTAACCCGAAAACAACCATTTCTTGTTCGACTTCCCACAAGACGAGGTTACAAAATGTGATAAAAAATCCCCGCTGTTCGATGTTTGGACTCTACTTGCCAAAATTATAGATAAAACTTTTGGTATCGAGGAAACACTTACTTTCACCTTTCATGCAAATCAGTTGTAAATATATCATTCAATAAGTCCTTCAAGTCTATACGATGACCAACACGAGCTTGCGGTAAACGCTAATTTACGTTAGCTTAGGTTTTCAGAAAAGAAGAAATTGCCATCAAATTTTTATCCTCACCCTAATTTCCACCCCAAGAAAAAATGAGCCCATAGCTAAAGGCCAAGCCCACCACGGAAGATAAGAAACAGTGTTCTAGCAACTACCAGAATAAATATTATGCGTAAAAAAAAAACCACCGGTTCTTGCAGGTAAAATCAGCATAAAACAGAGGTTGAAAATTAAACAAACATTCTTCGCTCAGAGAGACTTCATCGGTGCGAGATTTTGTAAAAACAAAATACACAATACACGAGAATTATTTGAAACAAAACCCTATTCAACACGTCTTTACGATGAAATTTTACCTGTGACTTCGAAAGAGCTTTTGTGATTCTTCAAAACCATTGTTCAACAATAAATTTATCCCATCCCTAGCCAGACCATGATATTTCCAGAACGCCGATGAGGTATTTGAGCTTGTATCTTTGCACTCATCCCTGGAGGGATTCATAAGGTCAGCAGTGTTGTGGTTATTTCGATAAATGCATGTGGCCCTAGTCAGGGATTCACCAGGAATCTCCACGTATCTCGCGCCATGTTTTGATTTTGCAGGATTTAGCTGTGAGAGAAGCCAAGAAGTGCCAGGCGTCATTTGATTGGCTTATCCACTCGCTCGAGTGATTCCGGAATCTACCGAGCATTTTCCGGAAGATATCACGAAAACCATAGAAGTATTATGGTATATTTACCGGTTGAAATTTTCAAGATGGCCTCTGTCGGACCAAGGCTGGGAAGGGAACTGTCTTTCACGGGTAGGATTTGGAAAGCTTTCCATGAGTGGTATATCTATGCTTGTGGTTACAGACAACTTGGTAAGTTTCCCTGTAGAGGAACGAGCCACCTGATTGAAATCTGCGTGGTTTGAGTACTCTTTGATGGTTCATTTTTCTCTATCATAGTATTGTGCCGCTGCACTTTCCTCGGCCGTGTCATGCTACGTTTACCGTGGAGACCGTGGCGATAGTTAATATTCAAAATCAACGAAAACACACTGGCTATAAAATTATATATTTCCTCTTCCATTTTATGCCAATTTCTTAGCCGTAGGCTTATCTAAATCCGTTTTCATGTATATTCTTGGATCATGTTACATACCCGATATTTACAAAGTCAAGCGATGTTTAACTGTTCGTGCAAGCTTATGCACCCTTAAGGTAAAAATTATGAAATGCAGCGGTAATGAGCCATGGGCAATCTTGCCTCATACCATTAATGTAAGTCCTAGCCTCCTATGATCCTAGACCATGGGGTAGGTTGAAAAGTTAGCCTGTCATTTTATCCTATTTTCCTGTCGTCAAATTTTATCGGAACTTGAGTTGACTATTGATCATGTTTGATAATTCGACCATAGATCGATAATTTTTTCAAGTTTTTTCTCTTAAATGTGTGAGTCACTGGCTAATGACATTTGTCTAAATTTAGGCGCCAAATATATTTTTCACTAGCCATGGTGACCAAAATGGTGGCAGTTTGGAGTGCTCATTGATTATGTTTGATAATTCGACCATAGATTGATAATTTTTTCAAATTTTTTCTCTTTAATCTGTGAGTCACCAGTTGATTACTTTTGTCTAAATTTAGGCACCAAATATATATTTTTCACTTGCCATGGTGACCAAAATGGTGGCAGCTTGGAGTGCTGTAAGCTGAATCCCACACACGTTTTGATTGATTCCTACTTATGATTTATTGGAAGACAGATCTATGGATGATATCACCACAAACAACATTTCACTTTTTTATCATATAATACATTAGATTCCTCAGTAATGGATCACAGAAGATGTTAAGATGTGGAAAGAACATCAGTGATGCACTTTATAGTCCTTAACACATTTTGACATCAACTGTCATCATAATTGTATTTAATGTGTTCTTTACTTAGTGTGGCTAAACTTAATGATTTTAGTTCATGTAAGAGGGCTAATCAGTGGTCATACAAACCAAAACACAAAAGCGTGTTCATTATGTTCTGCTTAGATATGGAGAGGAACATAAGTTTGGTAGCCTTACTGCATTTCCAGTTGGATACAAGGATGAGCATGAATTCTTAAAATAATGTTGTTAAGTATTTGGTTTTTTGTGATAATGGAGCACAACCATTGTTTTGTGGAAGATCAAAAGGAGTTTGTGACAAAGCAATCTCAAAGTTGGTAAATTTGGTTGTGTAATACACTTAGCTGTCCAACTTAGCCATTAAAGTACACAAACTTCCAATAAACTGGGTGAAGTCCTAAGGAATTTGCGGGCAAATTGTCTAGATACCATAGATAAGATTGAAGTAGAGCATAAACTCTTGCTGCAAAGTAGAACTTCCATGTCTGCCAGCCAAATTTATGTGCCACCAATTTTAAGTGCCAGTAATGTATAAATATAATGTCTGCGGGAGTCTGGTGTTCTCTTTAAGTATCTAAGTGGGGGAATATGTTTATTCTGCTACTGTCACCAGAGAAAGGCTAGGCAGGGATTTATAGTATGTGTAAGTAGAAGATACAAGACTGCCCTTTGTCTAAATGACAATACATCTTCAGTTTGTTTGCTTATGGCAAATTCAATGCTATTTTTAGGTCTTCGCAGGGGTGACTTGCTGAATGAGGATGACCCTGATGTGAAAGAAGCTGTAAAACGTCTTTCCCCTGAAGATTTCAACCTGAGACAGTTCCGTATTAAGAGAGCTCTTGATTTGACAATGAAACATACCATTCTACCCAAAGAGCACTGGACAACAAGTGAAGAGGTTTGTTTGTGCTTATTTAAATTATTTGATCCTTTTGTTGTGATATGAACATAAGAATGTATACCTGTATATGTGAGTTGCTACACACAGTAGTTTCCAGTCCAAGGTGTATTTTCCAAGTTACCATTAACCACCACTTTCTGTATTACCAGAAACGGTGGAGAGGAGCTGTGAGAGTAAAGCATCTTCCAGTGCCTTCAATAAGATTTGAAGTAGGCAGTTACCTCAGCAAAGCACCTGCTGGAGAATGATATGAAAAACATTTCACACAGCTGCAGATTGCTTTACGAAAAATAACAAAAAGTTGCCTTGGCTAACCAGTAACCATAAGAACATGATCTTCTTCGCTTTTCACAGTTAATACTGCTTTTTTATTGATGTAAGGTTAGATGATTAGGGCTAGTTATGTACACAAGGTCTAACCCAAAGCACAGTTTTACCCAGTCAGTGGGCCTCAGGCTTTCTCTGTAAGTGGGTTGATTTAATGAAATAAATATCCCTCCACTATTATCTTTTTGCCTTCTTGATGCTGTTCACAAAAATAAATGTTTAGATAAAAGGTTCAGCTAAATTGAGAATTGTTTAGGAGGTGGTTTTGTTAAACAACAGCTAAACTTTGTCTAAATAGTGGAAAACAGAAACAGAGACTGTTATCATTTCTCTCTTTGTAGTTAAGCCACAGTTAAGCGTTTTTGATGCAAACCTGCGTAACATCTTTTCAAAAATGTAGGCGTGTGAATGACAAGCACTCTATTTTATCAATTTTGATTTTCGAGTTTGTTTTCTTACTAACAGGTGAGAAGAACAGTTGTTGGTTTATTTGTTAAAAAATATTTTCAAGATGACTTTAGTTCAGCACAAAGGTTTTTAAGTTATTTTAGTAACCAACAACGCATACTTTTTCTTTGCACATGTTTAATATATGTAGAACACTTAAAAAAGATAGAAAAAGAAAACTGCCAGTGTAAGAATGACTTTAGTAACAAAGACCACAGAATTTGCAAAATAAATCAGCTGAATACTCCAATACTAAATTGACTACAATTTTGTATGTTATTTTCTAAAAATTCCACTTCAGTGTGGCAAAGTATACCTGTGGAAGGAAAATTTTTTGGGATAAAAATGGTTAATACACCTAGAATGTTCAGGATTAATAATTCATTTTGTGACATCTCTTATAGGACACAATGTATATTCAACCTCTCATTGACCAGGTCAAGAAGGAGCGCATTGAAAGAGAAATGTGGGACCACAAGTGAACATCATCAGTGTGTTTGTGTGCAACCTTGAATGGATTGTTAATTCTTCCACAAATTACTTTCAGCTGTGGAAATTTTGTAGCTTTCAAACAAATTGTGTTCAGGTTTAACTTGTAAGGGAAATGTAAAGAAGATTGTCATAATTTGATTTACATCACCTGTAATAAAGAATGAATACTACTGTTAACACCGCCTATTCATATTTTATGCTGCATTTGCTTGGAAATTTTACAGGGTTCATTTAGGTTTTAAAATTATTTTTCTTGATATAAATGTACTGATTGAATGAAACAAAAATACAGTCTAACAGATTATAATTATCCTTTATAACATAGAGGGCAAAAATACTGAATGCTGATTGACTGAGACAGAGGGCTTTTTTCCTGAATTTTGGTAATTACCCTCAGCAAATTTCCTTGAAATTGATTACATTAATACAGGGTTAACTTTACCTTAAAGTATTTTAATTTCATCGATGGCTAATGTTTTTTAGCAGGGCTGATCTCATTGCTTTTGCAGTTTGGTACAAAAATAATCATTCATTCAGCTGACTTGTGTGTTTTACAGTTCATTGATGCCAACTAAATACTGAATGGCTTTTCATGAAATTGCACAACAGCGTGCCTTTCCAAATTCTTAATCAATAATGGTAATAGGACTGAGTGGAGTCCAATTCAGTCATTAATCATACGAGTGATTAACAAAATCGAATGACTGAAGCAGGAGTCCGATTTGTCAATCAAGAGTATGATTACTGACTGAATTGGACTCCACTCAGTCCTATTACCATTATTGATTAAGAATTTGGAAAGGCACGCTGTTGTGCAATTTCATGAAAAGCCATTCAGTATTTAGTACTGAATTGGACAACACAAAGTCCTGTTACCAATTAATCATAACTGTTACATTTTCCAAAAACAAAAAATATGTTTAGGACAAACATGTGCAGTAGAGACAACGTCTAAGGAAAAAATTCCCCAACTTTGGAAATTCCATAACATTTTTAGGATGTGGTTGTTGCTATGGTTATTGTGATCAATTCTGTGATTGGTGGATTTGACAGAAAGGACTAAATTTGATTGACTTCTTTAACTGTCCGATTACAGGTGTCCGATTACAACCAACTGTCCAATTACACTGTCTGATTACAACTCTACAGAATAATTTGTGAAAAACAAAGCAGCTACTACACCAATCACATTTGAGGAAATTGTAATGGTTCTGGAAACACCTGATGCTTATCCTTAGTTTTAGTTAGCCTCGCACAATTACCTATACTTATGGTATTGACAACTTACTCATCTTTTGTGGTGAGGTATAGGTGTTTAGTGTTGATTGGGCTGCAGAGAACAGGGTGTTGTCTTTAATCTTGAAATTCTAGGAAACTTATCTGCTGGAGTCAAATGACATCTTCTGTTTGTCAGGGTCATGCTCACAAAGGTATGAACAAAGCTTAACCACTTGCTGTTATGCTAGGGCATCACATTGAATACTTTTTTTTTTCCTTGTGTTAGATCATGCATTTTCTTCAGTATTTTAACCCTTTCCACCATAACGTTGGTATGGATATTCTCCATACTGTTCCTTACATATTCTCTAAGGTGCTGATGAGGAGAATTTGCTTCATAATCCAGAGCTTCTTTATAGTTGATGACCATTTCCTTTATTCTCATTACCTGAATGTTTGATTCAGGGGTGATGTTGTATGGAGAAATTAGATACTAGTCACTGGTTGAAGGATCAAAAGTGAACTTATCAGTGCATCACTGGTTCATTCACCACCAAGGGAAGTTCCAGCATTGGTAATTATAATGATGTGTAAGACATGGGACTGTCAACAAAGATTTATACCACCACTTCCCTCCCTTCCCCTTCTGCCTTACAACCGAGTTTAAAAACCCCTCTCAAATCTGGTTACTGATTTCTTCTCTGCCCCTGCCAAATGCCTTTACATCCATTCCTTTTTTAAAAAAAAGAAAAAAACAGTTTTAGTTCTAGAAGTCCATCTTTGGTAGATGACACTGGACTGTAAAACCACAGAAAAGAAAAAGATCATTAAAGTGGATTAATCAGTACTAAAACTGTATCACAAAAATGTCTCTTCTGTAATGTTTAATACATAATATTTAAAAAATTAGTAACTCAGATAAAATAAAGCCATCTGATGTACAGTGTAACTTCCTGACCAGGGTGGGTGGAATTTATGCTATAACCTTCGAGGTATATCCTGACCTTGAATATTTGGATTTTGGGTTGCTTTGGTGTGAAAACAGCTTCAGAGTTTGATCTCAGTTTTGGTTTTTTTAAGGAACCCTTGATAGCGTATTAACATGTCAATCTTTTGAATTTTCCAAATGAACATGAGAAATATGGGAAAAATGTATAAACTTGACTTTGGCACTAGTAAGCTTCGTGAGGCTTCAGAAATAACAGCATCGCAGATCAAAACTCTAACACAACTGTAAGAAGTCATTTTTAAATGCATGTGTAGATTTTAAAAGCTAAGTCCATGAATGGTTTGGGAAAATGGAATATTGGCTTGAAATGGGGTCAGGATTTGCAGAACAACATGGTACAACCCTACTGAGAATTCCAGGGAGTTCAGTACTTTCACCCTACAGACTACCTCTATGCAATGCAGGTAACTTTAAAATCAAATCTTTCTATGGTTGATAACATAATAGGCCAAACCTCACCATAAAAAAATCATTTTAAAGCTTGAAATAATTCCCTCCGACTGGAAATTACAAGATCACCATGTCTTTAGCTTTAAGTAACAGAGACGTCGTGCTTACAAAACCAAAATTTCCCAAAATAAAAATGAATTACTGTATTTACAAAAGAATGATGCATGGTTTCTTATCTGGCTCATTTTGAAATTCCTTATGACTTCAAGAAGAGTATTCAATTTACAATGTTCATAATAGCCTGTAAAACACAAACCCAATTAACCACCTCAAAAATGCACATTAACTATAAACTGCTGGGTCTTTCATTAAGAATATAAAACTTTGATTTTGTTGAACTACATTTCAGGAGAACACATGCTAATCTTATTGCTTTGGTCATGATGCCATGCTATTTCATAGTCGGGGCTCCATCTTGAACTGGTCAACCAATCACCTCATGTGCAAAGGCTTTGAGCCCAAATGGTCAGCAACTACTTACAACTGTGGCAGTAAAAACTACTTTTTAAAGACAGACCACAAAATCATCAACATGTTGAGTTATGAAAGTTTCTTATCCAGTTGAAACTTAGTGAACTAAAACAATTTAGCTGTTTTTCCAATCTTGTTCCACTATTCATTTTGACCTGATTGTCATTGTATCAGTTCATTACCAAGATATCGCATAATTAAAACTTATTGTTTTGTTCAACTTTGCAACTGAATGGACACTACCTAAAATCACCCCACAAGTCCCCTTTCACTGAATATTACTGGGAGATCAAGACAATTAATATTATTTTCTTAGTAGAGAGCAATTGCACTTTTGTAATCCATGATTATCACTATTCAAATTTTCTTATCAAAACAATTGTCATAACAAGCCTAAAAGAGCTGTGTAATGGTTTGTGCGGTCATTTATAATTTAAGTCATCCCAGCCCACTAACAAACTAACAAGGCTGTCTTGTATTAAAATGGGCCATCTATTACATCACTAAAAATAATAATTAAAAAATAAAACTCAAAACACCACAAAACAGCTCCTTTAATTACAGATAATTTTCATTCCAGCAACTGCTAACAGCAGCCAGTCTTGTGTGGTTCAGCTGCTGGAATACTCTTGAATTCTTGAGAACTAGTTACTGTTGTACTGTTTGTTAAAGTCATTGTTTCTGGGTCCTTTGGAATGCTTTCAAAGTTATGAGCTTTTTCATTCTCAAGAATCTGTAAAAATGAAAAGAAAAAAACACTAATCTCAGCAAAAGATCATGTGTACAAAATTGAATTATCTTCGGAGTCAACTACAAGTGGGTAAATCCTTTAGCTTCCTCAGTCTGATCAGTTAATTAACCTTCTGGCTCCTGTCCATTTTCCTCATAGAAAATTGAGTTGTAGAACAAGATACCACCCTACCTCTGATAAGTTTGTTTTGTTCTCCAAATGCGATTACTGTAGAATTTATTAGCTTATCAGATGAGCTTTAAAATAATTTTCCATGTATACCTTTTGGACAAGGTATTTTGCAGCCTCAGAAATGTTGATGTCCTCTTTAGCTGATGTTTCAAACCAGTTGATAAAACCTTTGTCAGAACAATACTCATCCATTTGACTTGCATTATTGACAAGTCCTTCCCTTGCTTGATCACACTGTCAAACAAACAAACAAACAAGAAAGAAACATAAAAAATCAACCTCAGACATCAGAAGCTTCTCACAATAACACTCAAGAGTGACACATTTGCAGGGAAACAAGAAAAGAAGATTGCATTGCAAAAGCCATAGTGAAAGGTTAACTGTGCACCACCATCTAACAGGTGGTAATTGTGTCAATCAATAGGAATTTTCAAAGAGGATTTATTGCTATTTAATTTGCAAGGGTACATGTGCCAAATATAGTTCACAACAAGAAGAAAAAAAACCTTGTTTGCCAAAAGTACAACAGGAATTGGAGATCCATTAGGAAGTAGAACTTTGTTGTCCAAATCGTTCTTCCACTTTTGTACTGCTTCAAATGTAGATGCTCTTGTGACATCAAATACGAGGAAAGCTCCAACTGCTTCTTTGTAATAAACCTAAGGAGCAAAATAATGTTCCAAAAATGTAACAAAAAAATCTATGAAAAAATCAGTAGAACCAGGCTGATAAAGCTTCGAGATACGGGGGAGTTCAAGTTAGCTGATAGAAAATTACTGGAGAATGTACTTCAACTTCACATTAGCGAGAAGTTTGGGTCTTACGCTTGTATTTCATTGGTCAGCATGAACATGTTGACAACCTCTTTGAAGAGGTGTAACAAGCCTGTAAAACTTCAGAGTAAAAAACTCAGGCTCTATTTTTGCATAGATTCATGGGTTACTTTTAAAATAATGTATTGCTCAAAAAGGGCATACGCTCTAATAAAGTGCCCTCACCCCTACTCATGGCAAACTAGTGTGTAAACAAATAACAAAATAAAAAATATGTAGTTGTCAAAAGAGACTAAATATTGCACCATGTTGTAGATTTGACTGTGTGGCTGTGTTTATAATAAAATTTGCTCTTGCACTTAAATGGCTTCTAATATTTGAAATGTGTTGGTTAGTGAGTAAAAATCTTGGTATGTATGAAATAAAAACATCATGCCATGGAAAGTGCTTAAATGATTTTTATTTTCCCATTGCAATGCATCGAAAAACTCACTCTTTCACTGCACTCACCCATTCTTCTTTTTTTGATGTATTGCTTCTCATAAATAAAAATAATTTGTGCTCACCTCCCATGGAATAATCTCTATTTTTAGACACTTAATTTTTAACTTTTTAAGTTCACATTACAGCTGGTTAATAGTTTCTTGATAGACACCTCCCTTCAACAAGTGCCACCTTCCAATAAGTGCTCCTCCTAAACCAAAATTTTAACTAAGCGCATGTGCACCTATCTAGGAAATAGGTATTAATTTTTTTGGATTCCACATTTTAAAAGCTGTAAGATGATATACAGAATTCAATGGTTTTATTAAAAGCAACCTGAATACAAACCATTTTCTGGAAGGCACCCCTGAAGGTCTACTGTAACCTTAAGGGGAACAGTAAATTGACAGTTGTCTCCTTGGATCAGCTACTTTGGCAACCCTTGCATTTGCAACTGGAGAGCACAAAATTAATGGCAAAGAAACTTACCCTTGTCATGTTACCAAATCTCTCTTGTCCTGTTCAAAGAGACACAAAAATTTCCACAACATTAAACATAATCAGAAAATATTACAAGGTTTGACCAAAGTTGCTTTCAATACTATGGTTGACTCTTTGCAAATGGTAAAATTTTTCAAATAGAGTTTAAAATACAGCTATTTAAAAATTGTTGAAATTGAAAGGCTTCTGTCTCCTAACCCTTTTCTTTAATTTCAAACACCTCTCCTTTGGTCTCTCACATGTGTAATTACAAAAATATTGTGACATATTTCTCCAGCGCTTCTGTTCTAAGAACCTTTTTGTTGATTAGGGACACAGTAAATGTGTTAAAAAGAAGATCAAATATGATCAAAATTTCTGGGAGCCTCATCAGTGGACTATTTCTGAGGCACACTAGAGGAAATGATTTCAATAGGATTCAAGGAGGTCTACCAATTTCAAATCCAGCACCATAAACTATTCTGCCACACAGCTTTCCCCACCTCTAGAACACAATAGTATTAATCTACTACTGGCCTACCTGCAATATCCCATAGCTGTAAGCGTATTAGTGTATCTGAGTCCCAATTTATGACCTTGAGAGCAAAATCAACACCAATGTATTCAAAGTTAAAGTTAATAAGGTTATAGAGATACCTGCCGTGGGATAGTGTCTATAAAATGGAAAATGAGGTTTGATTAATGAGTCACTCATTAGAAGCATTACAACAATTGGGATCGTTCTGTAGGTATAGTTTCTACACGTTGTTTGATATTTTAAGTTTAGTGACCTAAACTAGTGCAACTGTTATGAGGAATATTGTTTGTAACTGCTGTTGTGTACGGTATCGTCAATATAGCTGATGTATTAAAGGCAGTGCAAGGACATTTCGCTTTCAAGAAGATGTTAAAACACCAGCGAAGAAATATAATGTAAACAAGGCACTAGCTTTGGGTGAAATGAACATTCATTGCAGTATCACAACGATTTTGCAACAAATTGGAGTTGCATTTCCTTAAGATCTACTTTGAAGAAAGGATATTGTAGCTCTGTAGTGTACAGAGAAAAATTGATGTACATATCTCTTGATAATGCTGGTTTTTCCAACACCAAGATCCCCAATGACAAGCACTTTGAATAGATACTCCTTCTTCTCTCCCGAAGATTCCTAAGAAATATTTGGACACAAGAAATGAAAGTTACTCTTTACCCAAGCTTCATGCTGTTGTCGATCCCTTGCAAAAAGCTTTTTTTCTGAAGGAAAACAGTAATCGTACCATATTAAGCTGGTACAACTGCTGTAATTTCACAATAATCTAGTACTTCATCTCAGCTGAGCCACCATTTTGTCATGTGATTGTCAATGATAGGTTCTGCATTATGATTGGTTTTGGAGTTTCGCCCCAAAGCCTATGGCCGTTATAAGCTGTTTGTTTATTGGATAGTATAGATTCTACCAGTTCCAAGAATCCCACAAAAGTGAGGACGAAATTATCTTAAAATACATCTTACCTAATCGTTTCCTTTCATAAGAATCATTATCTCAAGACCGTGAGTGAAAATCGGTGTTTAGAGAGGCGAGTCAGGAACCCAGGCGAACTGGAAGAGATCTGGGGATAATGATGTCTCTCTTTTCCTGACTCCCTGATCAGTTACATGGCTTAAGGTCGCCACTTTGAACGGTTCAAGATTGAGTATATTTGTTATGAATCTTAGAAATGAGGCTCCTCCTTTTAATTTCCAATTCCCACCTTGCTATCTCTTACGTTTAAAGTCGGAAGAGTTTTAGATTCTATCAAGTTTATAAATGATATGGTACAAATGTAAAGAATTTAAATGGAAAATGTCTTCAAAGATGCAGTTCTTTTCTTCTGGTCAGAAGTTTTATTGATGTGTAAGGTCTTTGGAAAAAAAATTTTTAAAGATAAAGTCGTACCTTGCACGCTTACTTTCTCATACCTTTTAGCGCGCGCGAAACGTCAGAAAATACGTCACAAAGGTCTTAAGGCTTGCGTTTGGAAATTCTCCAGTTGTTTACTGGTTAGCTAGCCGTAAACGCAGAGAAAGTTTACGGACACAATTTGATCGCAATCAACGTTGAGTTTATTGATTCACTAACTCTGATCGAGCATGCCTAAGAGAACTTCACGCTTCTCAAAGAAGGCGAGGTCAGGTCAAGACAAAAACATGAATGAAAATCCCTTTCGGAAATCGAGCAAAAACTCTAGAAAACGGAAAGCGGGAATTGATTCCCTTCCAGAGAGTAAAAGGAAACAGACAGAGAAGGAGGTCGAAGTAAGTTATAACAAATAAGAGTAGTTGTTAACTTGTCAGGATTTTCTAATTGAAATGTATTGACACAATTAACAATTAGAAAATATCATAGGATCAGCGGAGAAGAACTAATTGAATATGTTTGAGTTCTTGAAGTAACGCGCGGAAGCGCAGCTTGTGAAGTTGATTTCATCCTTGTTTTTTGTAGTCTTTTTCAGTAGTTTATCGGCGAGGGTAACAACTCAAAGAATCAAATTTCTCTTCTTTGTTTCTAAAGAATTTTCTGAAGATTCAACGATTCGTCTGCAGTCCTCAACTACCGAGGTAAATAAAAAATTGTCAACCTTTAAATTTAAATTTATGTAAACTCTTATTTTGTTATACGACTGAACAAAATCTCCAGCAATTTTATAAGAAAGTTTTAACAGCGCCAGCAGTTACATATAGATAGATAAATTTTAGTTTGATACAACTCCGTAGAAGTTCCAGAAGAGTCGTACCAATGTAGTTTCTACCTGCATTTGGTTCATTTTGCCAACGTAGCTTTCATTTTTCTCCGTGGCTTTGAGTACCTTCCTCAGAGAGCAAATGGAGAAACTTTCAAAGTCATGGAGCAGCTTCACATCATTTGAATCATTTAATGTTTTCTAAAGCATTGCTGCTCACCTCGGTGCTGTTTTTCAAGTCAGAAACTGGTTTCACTCCTAATAAAATCTTCCGTCCTTCGCAGTTATGTATTCTGGCTTAACCGCAAAGCATGTTTCACCGATTGGAAAGCGATTCTCATAGAAATGAATAAAAAAAAACAGTCAAAGGAAATTTTTCCCCAGGAATTATGAAAATTGTGAGTGAAATGAACCACGAAACGTATACGCTTAGCAACTGGTTACCCAACGACTCCAGGTAAGTAAAGAATTTTATCACAGAATTATGTCTTTTATCTTCTTAGGGAAAAATCCAATTTTTCAGGCATTGTGCCTCAGACTAGTTACTTGCAAAAGAGCAATGACTACAAAGTTTCTTCAGACGTCTCAAAGAAAGAGAGTTTACTTGAAGAAAAACGTGAAAATGTAAATCCGATCGCAGATAAATCGGAACGATCCTCTAGAAAGCGGAAAGCAGTATGTGAACCCCTCGCTGCAAGAAAACGAACCGAAAACGAGAGCAGGGTAAGTAAATGTTTCACTAATTGGGTGTTCGAACTTTTGTTTTAATACTTATCAAAATGTCCAATCGGTAAAATGAACATTGTACTATCTAACGTACTCGCTTAAAGGAGTGAAATAGCTATGGTAATCCAGCATTACCTTCTAATTAAAAGAAAATTGCTATGTGATCAGAAAGCGAGAGGTGAATATCAATCGTCGATTTCACACCAACTGAGAAAGCATATTTTTGCTTTCTTATTTTCTTACAGGCTTCCCTCGGAAAACGACAACAAGAAAGCTATGATAGCGGTTACAAGTTATCAAGGTAAATAACAAAATGATTTGTTGAAAATAGTATGTAATTCAACCAATGATTAACCCTGTTGCTTCTTTTACCTTAACAGAAAAAGGTCGAGCTGCGCGGAAGCCAGGCGTCAGGGTAACCCACCGCAAGAAAACAATATCAGCGAAGAATTACCCGATTATGAAGCTTTTGAGGTAAAGAAGAAGAAAAAAGGTTGATAATTAAGCTTACATTTAGCACTTTTATCCACTTCTAGATTTCATGCCAGAATGGCAAAAAAAGTGTTCGGTACTGATGGTTATTACCTATCCGTTTTCCTCTGATTGGGCGCCTAAAGCTACGATACAAATGCTTGTGTTTCTTTTGATTTTTGTAATTGAATCAGTTTTCAAGACAGTTGTGAGAAGTTTAAGTACAAACTTTTTCAAAAATTTTCATGCCTAAGAAAGTACCAGTAGTTTTGTAGTCTATGGAGACCAGGATAAACGAAGACTCAGGCACCATAAAAAAGAGTATGACTTAAGGAAAGAGAACTTAAGATAGAGATTGATCCCGTTTGCAGAGTACACTTTGCTTTGCCTCGCATTTGGAAAATGCCTCTTAACAGGAGAGGGGTGGCAAAGGCTTTAGAAGCGAGTCTTTCAATTTCAGCCCCTTCTCCCCCTAAAGGGAGGGAGGAAACAGACTACTTTATCAATTCGTTAACCTTCTATAATTCACCGTATTTTAACAACACGAGACCATTTTTGTCCACAGAGTTTTCCAGGACTTGAAGCATTTCTCTCTAGCTGTCATTACAGTTATGTGTTTATGTTCTTAGGACCCTGATGAGCCCGACTGGTTGAAAGATTGTCATTCTCCATTATGGTCACCAAGTTATGAGCCAGACTACGGCAGTTATGTGGAAGAAGTTAAAAATACTGAACCTCCTGACTACATCAAGGAACTTGCCTCTTCTGATGGTATGTTCATTCCATTTTTCCCATTACTGAGATTAAATCCTTCCTTAAATCCTGAATAAACCTTTTTCTTGTGGAGGAAGAACATCAACAGGCACTTTCTCTCAATTTTTATGACACCTACATCGGTCAGGAAAAAACATGACGACTTGCCGTAATATGACAGCTCAGTGAAATGCAAATGCTAGTAAGAAACTGATGAAGGGCCACTCGTCCTCACCCCACCCTTACTGGAAAATTGTGCTAAAGCCGACGCGAGCTGTTGTTTAAATTCAGGCGACTGATTTCGTTTTAAAACGTTTTCTAAATAATGGTATA